CTTGGAGTTAGCTTGAACTGCAGAGGTTTCCTTTAATAATAATAATAATAATAATAAGTCTCAAGCTTCTAGCTTACAAGTGCTGAAACTAATCATGATCAGGGAGACAGGAAAAAATAAATATCAATTAAGAGATAGAATCTAATGAATTAAATGACTATAAATAAAACCTATTGTAATGATACGTAAACATTTTTTCTTGTGGAAACTCATCATGAAAATGAAAATAAATAACAACAAGAATCTAATGTCAATTAATATAAAATGACTATAACTTTAAATAGATCCTAATAATTATATCAGGGGCACCCAACGAGAATATGGTTCAAAACCACTTAAACATAGCATTGTTGAACATATTTTAGTATTTAAAGGGTAGACATAGGCCTATTTTTATCCCCTAAAAATTTTTCATCTGTCCGGATTTCCTAGCTGAAAGTCTGGTGATCCAGAAATTACAGGGATCAAGACTTACCTTTTCGAAAATTTCAGCCAGAAAAAAGGTTCCCGAAAATTCTAGGTGACCTTTTTGGGGTAAAAATCTGTTCAAAATGGGCAATTATGCCATTTTTTAGATGTTCGAAGATTCTAGGAGAGGCAGGCAAGCAAGAAATTTTACAGCAAATGTTCCGAAAATTCTAGATCTCAAATCGTCTTCCAAACAGATATTTTCTGAAAATTGGCATTGGGTGCCCCTGATTATATGTATTAAGCCCCAAATTATGTATTAAGCATTGCATAATATACAATTCTTACAATTCTTCTTGGCTCTGCTACAGCTGGCTTAACTGATGGTAGAGATCTATGCTGATGATCCAGCTTAGACCACAAATGCAGCCCAAAATATCTTATAATACTGTTCTTTCCATGATGTATTGTTTTAATTGTCTATAAGAATTAAGTCATTGTTCATTAACTATAAAGTAGCTATGGGTCAATAATATTGTCCTTGGTGAAAAATGCTTTGGACTGTTTGTGGAGCCAGATCATGCTTTATCTTGTACATCAATGTGGCAATGGACTGTAATCTCTTGTTAAGCAGTGTAGTAAGTTTAGCTCTCCTGAGGAGATCCGCATAGGGAGCATTCCAGTCACAATGAATTAACAATTAATGAATGAGGCTGAGTATCTTATGAAGAATTCTTGAGATCGAGAAGGGTGTTATCGCCAAGGCGGATAACACCCTCTGAGATCTCCATAATTCTTAATATGATACGAAAGCCAAATTCAATAATTGTTTTATTATTCATTCGAAATAATTCCCAGTTTAAAAACATTTCTAAGCTAAAACATGCTTACCTCCATCAAAGTTAAGTTCATCTTTGATAGTGCACGTTTACGGTTGTTCAGCCCAGCAAATATTCTCCAAATAGCACATGCAGCCCTTGGAGTTGTCTTAACTGTTCTTGCCATGTTTTTAGCTAATATTTCCCCCAGTTCTTACGCTCGAAACGAGTGAAATGTCCGCCATTTTTGTTTTCAAAAACCAAAACAACTCAACCTCGTGCCCAGGTCTTCTCGGTTAACGGAGTTAACCTGCAAGAAGGCTGAACTTTTGACTTCATCAGTTCATTAATCACAAAATTCTTCCAAATTTGGTCATCAGTAGCTGGTTATGGTGAATTATGTGTGTGCTTTTAGCCAATCAGAATCGGGGAAATATTTTGAATGAATAATATAACCACTCTTAATCCCTTTTTCTTTCTTAGATTACGTAGCACACAGAGTATTTAAACTCTGACTGAGCAAATCTTACTTTTGCCACTCTGAGTCTAACATTCAGAGGTTATGAAGCTGGTCTGTTTATGCTTATTGAGTAAGTGGTCTGGAGCGTGATGTCCTACAGTTCCTCTATAGGCAATTACTTTTGTTGTAGCTTAATGGTCTACTTGACTGCACTGGTAGTCCTTTTTTTGTTATAAGTAGCTAAAGCAAGACTGCAGTTTCAGAATTAAAAGGTTCCTTGTCAGATGCTACTTATGGTATAAATCTTCACTTTGTGAAGAGAGGCTCTAAGGTCACATTTCACACAGCAATAATTATTATTAGTCACATTTAGCCTGTCAACACTACATCAAACCGGATGTTTTCCTTACCACATTCAGCCAATAATAAAAGGTTTTCTATTTTGGAAAAGTGATAGCCAATCAGAAAATACCTACCATATTTGTAGTAGTAGGTGACTTCAATGGACAACATTGAGTAGTTCCAGAAAATATCAATACCCCCTCCCCCCCATGGAGCTGGGCAAGGCAATTTCTGAGGGGGTGGGGGGTTGCTAATGGAGGTTTTTTCCAGGGGGTCTGAGTAAGATTGGTGAGTTATTAATAAATTACAGCTTCTCTGTTGAGCAAGCTGTCAGTTCTTTTATTGTTACCAGTGTTTCAAAATGATAGTTTATGTGGTGTTTGGTTTGAATGTAACTGGTTCTTTTGCAGATTATATTATTTGTGTAGTGACTGTACTCAAGTAGCTAGTGTAAGGTATCGCTTCTATGGCTACTTATTAGCTAAGAACGTCCTTGAGATTATTAGACACCCTATTAACATGAATGAAAGAGAAGAAAACAATATCTTTCACATAATAATATAGTGTAACAACATTTTTGACACAAATATTATTTCCAGAGGGTACTAAACCATGTTGAAAAATTACAGAAATTCCAGGGGGTGGGGGTGGGGGGTATGACAAGCACCCCCTGGAAATTTCAGGGGTTTGGGGGTTTAAAGCAAAAGTGCCCTCCGTGGGGGGTATGGATTTTTTCTGGAACTACACATTATAATGCTCAGAATTCAAACGTCCCTCTCCCCCTTGCAGGGATGTTAACCTCTGGAAATCTAAAATCTGAAGACTCTTCTCTTTTGCATTACCCCCCACCCCCCGAATATCAACAACCACCCCTCCGCCTGACCCTAACCCCTGATAAGCACAATAGTCAATCCAGTCCCTAATTTATCACGTGGGAGGGGCTTAGGACACTAAACGAAGTCGTACACGAGACTATCACAATTCGCTTTTATGACTGTATAGGTGAAATAATCTTTGTTTGTCATTAAATACGGGCAAAAATGCCCCAGAAAGCGAACTACGAATCAAAGAAAATTCTAATTTGGGGAGAAAATGGGATAAATTCCAAATTAAACCACAGAAAACCTCAACTCGATTTTATCCGGGAGATTTGGTAGCCCATACAGGAGACCAGCAGATTGGAGTTGTATCCGGGAGACTCCCAGATAATCTGGGAGAGTTGGCATGTATGCCCTTGCCCCTTATGGGTTAGCCTGTTCCAGGCTCCAAGATAGTGGTACAGTTGTACAGTAAAAAGAGATGCGAAAAACGCGCAGGGGGCTGGGGAGAGACAGGGCTTTTGCTTTGCTCATTTTAAACACGTCCCCATTCAACGTCCCCTGTATACTATCTGAGAGCGTCGCACAGGCTACTTACAGGTTAGGGGGTAGAGATCCCCGGGGGGATACTTGGGTTAATTTTTTGCAGGGTATGTGCCGCTGGCCTCTCAGAGCCCCTACCCCATTATAGTCAATCCAGTCGTGAAAATGCGACCCCATCCAGCGGCACATCCCTATTAGCGTCTTATAAGGATGTACCCCCCCCCCCGGGGGTGAAGACATGTGACATTTCAGACTATATTTAATGGAAGTAAAAATTATTCCAACAAATATAACCTGGACAAACTGAGATAGATCTATGACAGTTAAGCCTTCCTTAAAGGATCACCCAAAATGCGTAGATTGAGACTTATTTGCTGTATGGAAAGGCACAAGTCAGGCTCTTGCTTAATTTCTCTTCATGCAATTGTAACTGGATGGTGGCCCCCTTTGAGGGAAGACAAGGGATTTGAAGTATATTGCATGCAAGTGTGTTGTTGTTTGAAAAGTAGGTTGAGTTTGATCGTCCGGGTGAACGTAATCCTGAATAGGACTGTTGTTGTTGACAGTGACTGACGTTTCGACAACCTGGCCCGGGTTGCTCGAAGCATGGTTAGTGCTAACCAGCGTTAAATACCATGGAAACCTATACATTTTGATACCTCTTAACCAACGGTTAGCGCTAACCAGGCTTCGAGCAACCGGCCCCTGTACGGTAGTCATCTTCAGAGTCAAAGTGAGATGTATCGCGTCAGTTGATGGTATTATACTCTGGTTGTTGATCCGAGTACGTCGCGATGTTATTGGTCGTCTGTCAGTTAAGCTGTGATGTTATTGGCTATAAAGACTCGTAATGTCACTGGTGCGTTTCGATCCGTCTATTGTCACAGTTAAACAGTCGTCTATTGTGAGTCAAATTGTCAGTTCTCCAGTCGTTCTCTTGTAGTTCGTTTTGCTTGATCTCGTCAATAAGTCGTTTGTACGATGCTGGTAGCTGATGGCTACGATTCAGTAGATTCAACACTCAGACCAACGTCTATTCTGGCCCTGATACGACACACGGGAAAAAATAACGGATTCCCATTTTTGGATATTTTTGGGTATTTAAAGAATACCCACAAAAATCCCAAATTTGGAAGAGTGAGACAAGTCCCAATCTGGGAACTTGGTTGGGAATTCCCTGGTTGGGACTTGTCTCACCTTGCCAAATTTGGGATTTTTATGGGTATTCTTTAAATACCCAAAAATATCCAAAAATGGGAATCGGTAATTTTTTTCCTGTGTGTCGTATCACTGGACACTGAGGCTACTTTTGATCTGGTTTGATGTTCTGATGACATCTGGAATGTGCAGACTTGTTGTTTATGTGCGTTAGTATCTTGAACAAGAAAGCACATCTTCGTGTAAAGAAAGCAAGGAGTAAAACCTGTTGTTGAAAGATGGCCCGTGTGGTTTACAATATAGATTTGCCTGTTTTATCTAAATTAGCAGCAGGCTATCACAAAGGGGGTGATAATCAAGTGGGGTCAATAGAAAAAATTTATCAGAGAGGGAATTTATATTGACGTTAAAATATAAAACATTTGCTTTCAATATATTCCTTAGGAGATTCCCATGAATATATCAGAAGATCAAAAGCGATGGGTGGTTATTGGGATTGCTTTCAACAAGCTGGTGCCTCATATCCGACCATTTGTAGAACAGTCTTTACAGGCAGAGTACCAGAGCTTGAAGTCCAGCCATAACATTCACAGCCAAACTCCACCTGGGATTCTCAAGAATCATCCCAAACATCTGAAATATGAAAACATCAATAGTAACAGCGGTCACAAACTCTCCTCCGGAAAGTTTGACTTTTCAAAATTTGACTACAAGGTATCAAGTCATGTCGACTTTGCCAAGCTTTACCTTCAGCCTTTTATGGCCAAGTTCAGTGCATTTGATGGAAAGTGTGACGGATCTGCTGTTCTTTTGCTACTTGGTGAAGTACCTGTGTTTTCACATGCAATACAGTCATCAGCTAAGACAGTAAGAGAACATGTAAGAAATGAATGGGCTCACTGTAACTTTACAGACTGGGATGCAGTGAAGTTTCAGAGCTGTTTTAAGGAGATGCAGCAACTTGTCCAATCCCTGGGTCTGCCCCCAGCAGATGAAACCAGACTGTTATCAGAACTGAATGACTGGGAGACCAAAGGTATTTTGAAAATAATTTTCTCTGTGGTTACATATACCATACACGTGAATTTATTATGAATCTATTATTGAACCCACTTTTAGTGAACACAAACTGCTGTCAACCCTCTTTGCCCATTATTGACCAGTATCTAATTTCACCCTACAATATATCGCCGTTAAACAAACAAATTCTTCACGTTAACCACGCATTCCTCCTAACCCTCTTCCCTGATGTGCAGAAATTATGCGTGGTGACAAGTGAAAGCACCTTCTTTAAAACTTCAACAAAGGTATTCCAGATAGTTAGTTTGACGTTAACCTCGTAGAAGCTCTCTACATGTTGATTCGACTGACAATTTTAAGCTTGCTGCAAATGCTTTTTTACTTAACCTGAATGATTCTCTGACTTTTAACTGTGTGTTTTTGATTTATTATACATTTATTTGTTATTTCCTTTTGTTCTGTTTTTTTTTTTAACTTGCGACATTTCCCCTTCGGGATCTTGCAATTTATCTATGTTGATGTAGGTGTAAATGTAGATGTATGTGGGCTTTCAAGAGGTATGCACCCACCTCATTATGACCCCAATGAGATCTTTAGCTTCTAGCTCGGAAACAAATTTGGACCATTTTTTCGTCAACAGGAAAAGACACTGCAGCGACATCAAATAAAGATCCCATTGTAATTGGCGGAGAAACTCGTTTCAAAGGCCCTCTCCCTTCAGCTGCGAGACATTACTCTCTCAAACATTATGGAAAAAAATATCTTGCTCTGAAAAGTCTTATAAAAAAGCCTCTTGTGTAAAAAGTTGAAATTTTGTGACATCACACTATTGCTACTTTTGGTAAAAAGCTCCAGTCCTTAGTACTTGTCTGTATGAACAATAATTAGAAGCAAAAGTTGATTGTTATCGTCAACTGTTTTATGAGACTATGGATCGTTTTTCTGTATATATTTAAATCAGACTGTGGTTCAGAAACTTTAACTTCATTTTATTTAAAGAATTAAAATGGATAGTGGCATCACAGGGGCAAGTAGTTTTTTAAACCACACGTTAATAACGTGAAGTGGTTATGAAACCTGTCAGACATCTCTATTAAACATTTTTGTTAGATTTTCTGGACTTAAACGTACACAACGTTCAATGTCATTCCTATCTGTTTTTTTAAGTCGTCAAATTAACTTTTTTGAGTCACAAAGCAAAAATATTTTGAGCACGAGTAGGGTGAGGGAGTTCCCAACATTAGAAACTGCAGCACCGTTGAGCATTATCTTTGATTTTACCGCTTTTACCGCTTACCGCTAAATACATCAATAAACAATACCAAAAAAATTCAACTCTCCGGAGAGAGGCTTTGAAGCTGTTGAAAACTATTTCAGCAGTCTCACATCAAGGATTTGAACCTACTAGTTTTTCTTTTATTTTCGTTAAACTGATGTCACTAATGTATTTAACTTGTTCTTCTTACAGGCACGGAGTTCTGTGTTAACTCCCCTTTAGATTCTACCCTATTAAACTTGGTTCACAATGAAGTGCTGCAACTTTACTCCAATTTGGATGATTTTGTTTGCCAATTCAAGGAAGGGAACGACCTACTGAAATCGCAGTTCTTGGAAGTCAAGCAAAACCTCCAACAGCTACTGGACCTTCCCCAGAACTTTAAGCAAGTAGAATATGACGTACAAACCTTGAAACAAGAGGTTGCAGATCTTAAAGGTACCCCTGCGAAAAGTCAAGAATGCGCTAAGCCTCCATCTTTCTTTGGGGCGCTAGAAAGAAATGTATATTTTACAGGTCGCACAAAAGAGCTTGAAAATTTAGTAGAAAGATTTTTCAGTGTTTCCGACAATATGCCAGAGTCTCGTGGATCAATAGGAAGAAAAGCTAACGTTCATGGTATATGCGGACTTGGAGGATGCGGCAAGTCATCTCTTGCCTTCGAGTATGCTTGGCGCAACCTGGAACGTTACCCTGGAGGTGTATATGTGGTGAATGGAGAGAGTGACAATTCGATGAGGGCGTCTTTTGAAAAGCTTTTTGTCTTATTTGTAAATAACGTGCAGTCTAATCATATTGATGAATCCAAACAGTTTGATCAGTTAATGACTGTATTTCTTTCGTGGCTTGGTAATGTGAAAGATAGGTGGTTATTAATTGTAGACAACATGGATCAACAGGAACTTAGCCACTGCGCATGGACTCTATTTCTTGGCCAGTGGAAAACCAATTCGTCAGGAGACATTCTCGTTACTTCTCGTAGAAATGTCAGGTCATTATGCGAGGACCTTCACCTTCCGTCTGAGAGATGTTTTGAATTGAATCCATTTGCTTTGGGTGAATCCGTTGAATTCCTTAAGACGCGCACAGGTTTGGCATTTTGTCGTGAAGATCAGGACAAAGAAGGAAAAGAACTTGCCCTGGAGCTTGGTGGGCTACCTTTGGCTTTAGAGCAAGCAGCCGCGCACATTAAGGCGTTGAAATGTCCCATTAAGTCGTATCTTCAACAATATCGTTCTCAAAAGTGGACACTTTTAAACACAAAAAGTGCAAAACCGCTTACAGAAATTTACAACAAGGAACGCCTAGCAGTTAAAACCACGTGGCTTCTCAATTTCTCGTCAATCGAAAGTAACGAGGAAGATAAAGATCTTGGAAAAGCAGCTGGTTTTTTCATGAAAATAGCAGCATATTTATGCCCAGATAGGATTCCCCTTGAGTTATTAAACACCGGTTCTCCAGAGATTGAACACGAATATCTAAAAAAGCGTTTGAAAATGCCTGTCGGTAACAAGCAAATCGTTGACTTGCTTGTTCGGTTCTCTCTCTTTAAACAGAATTTGGATGGTACTTTAAGTATCCATCGCCTTGTTCAAGAGACCTTGAGAGATTGCTGTGATAATGAAGGTGGAACTCACATGGTCTTATCTTCTGCTACAAGGATTCTGCACAGAGCATTCCTTGATTGCAAAAGTGGGCCATATTACCCCAACGTACACACTCAGAATTGGCAAGATCTAGCCCGCAAAATCCAAAATGGCGTCAGGGGGATTCCATTTTCCAGTTTTTTCACGGATGATTTGATGCAGTGTGAAGGGAAACGGTGGAAGAACCTTTCCTTAAATGCTTTTTCTCTCTGCTGGTACCTCTTAGAGGATTCTTGCTTGAAACCTCCTTTCCTTTGTGAGGAATCTTCGAGGTTGTTTTGTGAGGCAGCTTTCTATTGCTATTCTCTGGGAATGGAAAGTTTGGGTGACAGATTGCAGCAGTTAGCACTGGAAGTACTTTGTGCCGTTGAAGACCCAGTTAGTTATGATAGAGATGACTTGATGAAGCTAACAAGAATACCCGTTCCTTTTGTCGATTCTTTAATCCTTTCAGCGAGCTTAGGATATTGTCCTCTTACCAAAGAATTGTGTAACAAAACATTCGATCTTCATTTTGTGGAAACACCAAACGAGAAATTCGGGGGAGCGGTCAAAGCCTTTATGTCAGAGGCAAAAGATGCCTTTAGCAGGGGTGACTTTCACGCATCCGCGGATCTGTACACTGAAATTGTTCAAATGTCAGGTTTTGGTGATAATATTCGTGGAAACTTTGATCGAATTAGGCCACACTTAGTTCCTCTTGGTGAGATACTTTGCAGCCGTGGCATTGCGCATATGAAGATGGGGAACTGTGACATAGCAGTTAACGACTTCAACGCGGCTACAAGTGTAGATATCCAGCACTATCGTGCATACTACTGGAAAACGTATGCACTGTGTAAACTTGTACAAAGTGGTAGAACTGAGCTCACGAGCAGAGCTCAAGCTGCAATGGCAATACTTCATTTGATGTTTGCAAACTCCAAATCAGGAGACATTAAAAAGCTACAAACCAAATTTCCTGAATTGCTTGTTGGAGCGAAGTACACGTTTGTGTCTCAAGTAAGCCAACTTAAGAAACTGGAAACTCTTTCTGCGGTCAGGAATTCTTTCTTTGTTATCATTTTAGCAGGTGGTTGCTATGATTTGAAGAAGCTTGTCGTATGTGGAGGTCGGTATTGTTTTGTTGGTCTTCCTGGTACTTCAGTATTGCTAAATTGTATCAATGGGGTTTGTTTGTCTCAGGGGTCTTTTCTGTTTGAAAACATTGAATTCATTACGAATCATTTATGTGACTCCGAGAAACTGGAATCACTAACATTAACAGGAAGACACAGAGCAAATACGGCAGAGCTATCATCTGAAGCTGGAAAAACGCCTATTCCTGCAATAGAGGCTAACAACGTTAAGTCGTTAGTTATTGCCCACTGTCAAATCAAAGGACTACTGCGGTGCTCAGGAATAGTGATTAACAACACTCAGTGGTCTGATGAGCAACGAAGTGTTGTAGTAAGATCATCCGAAGTCACCTCCTGTTCCGGACCAGGGTTGCAAATTCATGACAATAAACCTTTCTGCCATATAAGTATCCAGTGCAACAATCTGTACGCTAATTTATATGGCGTGGTTATAGACTCTCCATCGCATTTCAGTTTAGAGAAAAATTACATTTCTGGTAACAACCTCTCTGGCGTTGTGGTCGTCGGAGCTTCTGAGGGAAAGCTAAAGGGAAATACTTTGTTCGATAATGGAAAGCATGGCATTTTTCTAAACAAGACGAACGCGGTACTAGAGGAAAATGTTTGTGTAAAGAATCTTGGTTGGGGAATTTTGTGTTGTGGTGAAAGCAATTTAGATTGCAAAGAGAATGTGCTTGAAGATAATCTTTTGGGGGGCATTAGGACCTTGTTAAACGGTAAAGGAAAAGTGTCGATTCAAAGGTGCGTGTTCAGAGGAAATAAAGGTCCGGCTGTTTTTCCTGCAGCTGCAAATGAACTTTCACGACTGGAGCTTGATTGGAAACAATCAATTTTGAATTCACGGAAGAATGAGCTATTGTACTTGTGGTTTTTTCTTGAAGGTACCCTGCCAAATTGTGGATCTATCGGGGAATTCAACTCTCCGGTGCAAATGGAGAATAAAGTGTCAGATGTTTCTGACGTACAGTTTCATATTGTATCAAATTTCTGCTCCTCATGCTCCAAGACCTTGCAAGAGGATAGTGAAATGGTCGAGTGTTACAGATGCCGCATTGCTCGGTACTGTAGTAAGAAGTGTTGTGAATCAGCAAAAGCTGTTCATTATCCTGTCTGTGAGGCCATTCTGGAAGCAAACAAGTATATGAACAGTGTTAAAGAATTCTGTAGTTTAAGTAGCACATCACTTCACGTACAAGACAACGATCAAACTGGCTCGGACGTTTTTCTCTGTGTCATTGCTTCTTTAGCTTTAGCACCAGGCTTAGGGCCGCGAAATAACTACGAAGACCCAAACACTTCCTTTGAGCTAACTCTAGTAGCATGTCCTCAACGGAACCTTTGGACTTGGATTGGCTGCCCTTTCATCCGCCGCTTTGTATTAACGCATGGCATTCATATCCCAGACCGTGTAGCAGATGTTAAGGCAGCTTGTGCGCTAGCTAGCTTTGGTCATGAATCCGAAATCACAGTTTACACTCATCGTATTTTTCCCTTGGAGAAAGTTCCAAATGCTTTGAATTTGGTGGATGAAACCTTACGTTCGTATAAAGAACTTCTTACCTCGGACCTTGACGGCTCCAAAAGTCAAAGATGAATAAGTACTGTCTTAAAATACGCGATAGTGAGACCATAGCAAGTCCTTGAATGCGAGAAAACTTTAGGTAATTGGAAATTTTACAACACAGTTAGGTTTTTAACAGTTTTACGTCACCATAAGTTTAAACTGAAATTAAAGTTTGATTTTTATTGTGCCAGTTGTTAAAAACGTTTTCTACATTTCGGACTTTTTTCCTCGTAATGCCTATGATGCCATTTTCTAATCACACTTTAATAAAGTTATGGTTCTTCAGTTTTTCAATTCGTCAATTGCTTTTTCTTTCTTGGGCATCAAAGAGATATTGCCCGTTTTACCTAACCTGTTCGATAGCTTCTGTTTAGAGAGCATAGGGGGTAGGGAGAGAGGTCGTTCCAAAAAACCTTGGAAAACTCAGCAGGAAGGCCGTCCGTCCCCGGATTTTTTTGATTTGATTTGCTGGATTCAATTTGTTTCACCGCTTCTAGACTGTTTTTCTGTGAGAAGTCCTTCACATTTTGGTTTATCACCATCACTAAGTTTTCACGCGAACTTATAACATATGTTGAACCTTTTGTCTGGAGCCTCCAGTGTGACGTACTTATTGATAAAGATTGACCGAAGTAGAATACTGCTACGGACTAGTTAATCCTTTTTTAGAGTGAAGCGGATTACATTAACGCCGATGACGTCGTAACATTTTGTCTTTATCTCATGAATAAAATGCAGGGGAATCTCAAGTTCATGTGCTATTTTTAGGTGGTTTAATCCGCTTGACAGGTTTTATGATCATATCCAGGTCGATGAATCTCCTGTGTGTTTTTATTGGTTGACTAAAAACTAAGAAGACTTTTTGGTTGATCCGTGACTCTAAATTACTAAGCCGCATCATAATTATGCATGTTATATTTCCTTCACCTTTCATTGTTCATTGCAGACAACTTATTATCCCTCTCCGCTCCCACCTTTTCCCACCACCACCACATTCTATTGTTTTACCCCTACTATAACCACCACCGCCGCATTCAATTCTGATTTTTTTCATGCCACCACCTCCACTACCACATTTCCATTATTTTCTCTCCATCATCACCTTCATTAACATACATTTCTATTGATTTCCCTCCACATAACTACCATATTTCTTTTGTTTTACAAACGAAATTATGACATATACGTATACAAGTACCAGCATCTTTGTACTATTGACGACCGAACTTGCCTGTGAGACCATAAAATGTGACGTCATAAAATAGCACGTAAAACAATAGGACCCAATATGGAAATGTGGCGGTGGTAGTGGTGGAGGGGGGGAATGAACAGAAATATGGTGGTAGTAGTGGTGGAAATAAGGGGGTGGAGGAGGGAAAACAATAGAAATGTGGTGGTGGTGACGGTGGAGGAAGAGGGAAAAGAATAGAAAAATGATGCTGGTGATGGTGGAGGGAAATAACTGGATTGCGGAGGAGTAGCTTACCCTAACCGACTTCATTTCTATTGTTTTCCCCATCCACTGCCAACTACCACATTTCTATTGTTTTACGAGCCATATTTTGATGTCATACAGGTGTGCCTGTTGCAACCAGTCCAATGAATAAACTAGAAGATACTGAAGAGTAAAAAAAATGATTACCGTAAAGAAGCAACTTATTTATCTGCTTATTATTAGAAAAGAAAGTTTTCTTTTCTTAACCTGAGAGCATTCTCCTCAAGTCTTCCTCACGCGTGAATTCTCACGAGCGATATCCCCTGAATGAACGCTTGTAAGGGCATTTGTTTGTCACTGTGATTTGACATTTTACTTATATTTTTCCATTTGGAGTTTTTATACCACCCATCAAAAGGACTTTACAGCTTTATAAGTACATTTAAGGCAGGTATGTTATACACAGCACAATGCATGCCGGAATCAAAACAGCGTGACGCTAGATAACTCCCTATAAACATTGCGTGACATACTGTATTGGACCTTCCACACGCGTAAAGTCTCATGGGATACGGATCTTCTCGCGACCATTTTTCGAACGACTTTGCCACACTCTTCCAATGTAAGAGGTAGGTTCAAGTTATTTTTACTTGTGTTTATGCTAGGCTCCCTGTGTGTAGTTTTTCTGCAATTGTAGTTTAGATAAAACTGGCCTGCTATTCAGAGTGTTGATCACAGCAATATGAAAAATTAAGCCTTCATTAAACTAATTATGGTTCGCCATTTTGGACACGTGGAAAGGAATTCTGCTCTAAATCAGATCAAATATGTGATAGGAAGGATCGTCAAGCATATAGTGGCCATTTATATTGATTTTTTTTAATTCTGGTTTTTTTTCACGTTTTTTCCGTGAACGGTTACTCGAATTAACGCGTAAGTTTCAAACACAAGAAAGTTAATTTCTTCAGACACCATGAATCATTAATTAGTGCTATTAAAGGGGCTAATTGCTGGTTTGCACGTGACGTCACGGCGACCATGTTGGTGGTCAAGAACAAAAGCATTTGTCTCCTCTGGGAACTAAATTCTATTTTCATGTAAATTTTTCAAGCAAAATTTCTATTGTATTGACCCCCAACATGGGCGCCTTGTCATGCGGTTGCAAACCAAGAATAATCTTTGAGCTTGACTATCGTTCAATAACAGAAAAAACACCACAGCTACACGTTTATAAACAGTCTTCGAAGGAATGAAATATCAATGACTCTCGAAGAGACAGTTCTCCCAATTTTAAAGTCAATTCGTTAACAATAGAGGGTAACTAGTATCTGTTGGGAATTCCTTAGTATAGGAAATTAACGATACACTTCATATAATGTGGAATTTTGCATCCCGGGTGTGATCGTTTACTGGAAGCTAGATTATTAAGTTCACTTACCTATTAACTATTTTGTGGTCTTGTGTGATTTAATGGTGTTTTTTACACATCGATTGGGTTTTCGCATGGGTCTTCGTTTTTGAGGGGGTCTTTGTTTTCAAGGGGGTCTTTGGTCTTCCGTCTTTGTTTTAGGGGTCTTCGTTTTCATCACTACCATTTGCATTACATATAACCAGCCCCATATCGTTGTTGATAGTGCTTGCAAATCAGCGACACTGGGATTCACTTGCTGAGTGCTGTTTGCTGTGAAATGAGTGGCCATCATCTTTAGTTCAGATTGCTCAAAATTTCTAAACTGCTTGCTTTGATTCTGGCAAACCCAGACATTGTTAAAACATTTTCAGCTTGAAAAAATCTTAGCCCCAGATGGATTCGAACACACGACCCTCGTTGGTTCGAATCCCATCTGGGGCTCAGATTTTTTCTGTGTCCTCTTGTGGTTGATTCTTTACATCTACCTTTATTTCCTTTATAATATTAATATCAGTGGCATAGGTTGGTTGGTTGGAGGCATTTTCAGCCTGATTTACACAAACATCACAATGCCTTATTTCTTATATCATTTAGAAATATGGTTCGCAACGTATTTTTAACTTGCTGTGAGTACAATTATGCACAATTTCATTGTTTAGATCTCAACTTGTGATTGGCTAATTTCAAAATTTGTCCCAAAATTTTGTCTGGGTTGCCTCGGTTTGTGTAGTCGCACTGTTATGCCTGGACGGTGACAAAAGGTAGAGTGTGTGTGCTGAAAGGTTTCAGTTGGCCTGTGGTGGGTTTTGATGTCCATGATGGACCAAGATGGATTCTTCTGTGAATCTCTCACCTCTACACTGATTTGTTCTCTGCTATTTTGGCTGTGATGTTCTTATCCTGGGGTTGAATGTATTAATGAGCTTGTTGTATCAAACAGATTTTCCTTTTTTTCAATTATTATTGTCCTTTTAAAAGGGAGAAAACATCATTGAAAGATATTTCCTATTCATAATTATCTTTGTATTGCTTTGCCTAATAAAACTTGCTTTGATCTCCGCCATGAGGATGATTGCAAAAGACAATGCCCATTGTGACAATATGGTAACAGAGATACTGTGGAACCTGGTTAATGTAGACACCAGAGGGATATGCCATAGTGTCAGTATTATCCAGGTGTCTGTGTTAAAAATATTAAATTATCGGGGCAAATGAAACTGTCCTTTTAATAATTAGGGTGTCTGTATTAAGCGGGTGTCCTTAGAGCAGGACTATTGAACACTACTGTGTCGAGATTTATTCCTATGACAGAATTGATCAATTGAAAGGAAAATGTCTCAAGGGCAGGGGGGGGGGTCATAATGTTTGGGCTGATGGTTTGGGGAGGGTCAAGATCTAGAGTTTTTAGACAAAAAGTTGAGGAAGGGTCACATTTCTGGGCCCTCATTTTTTATTTTTTTCATCCCTCTTCCTCCAGTAATTGATGACCACTCCCTTAAAAGCACATTTAGCAAAATCAGGTAATCAATCCTGTTGTTGAAAGATGGCCAGTGTGGTTGAAAAATGGCTGTATTATTAAAATTAGTAGTAGGCTACACAAAGGGGGTGATGATCAAGTGGAGATCAATACAAAAAATTGTCAGATAGGGAATTTACATTGACCTTAAAATGTAAAACATTTGTTTTCAATAGATATTCTTTAGGAGATGCCATGAATATATCAGAAGATCAGAAGCGATGGGTAGTTGTTGGGATTGCTTTCAACAAGCTGGTGCCTCATATCCGGCCATTTGTAGAACAGTCTTTAGAGGCAGAGTACCAGAGCTTGAAGTCCAGCCATAACATTCACATCCAAACTCTGCCATGGATTCTCAAGAATCATCCCAAACATCTAAAATATGAAAACATCAATAGTAACATCAGTCACAAACTCTCTCCTTTCAAATTTGACTTTTCGAAATTTGACTTTAAGGTAACAAGTCATGTTGACTTTGCCAAGCTCTACCTTCAGCCTTTCATGACCAAGTTCAATGCATTTGATGGTGAGTGTGATGGGTCTGCTGTTCTTCTACTACTTGGTGAAGTACCTGTGTTTTCACATGCAATACAGTCATCAGCTAAGGCAGTAAGAGAACATGTAAGAAATGAGTGGGCTCACTGTAACTTCACAGACTGGGATGCAGTGAAGTTTCAGAGCTGTTTTATGGAGATGCAGCAACTTGTCCAATCCCTGGGTCTACCCACAGCAGATGAAACTAAAATCCTATCCGAGCTAAATGACTGGAAGAACAAAGGTAGTTTATCTTTAAGTATTTTCTTAAAGTCACAACTTTGTTATAAAAACATAAAAAACCCTCTTTTCCATTGCTTTTTTTAAAAGAAGAAAATTGTTGATTGCAATTTGGAATTTGTTTACCCATGGAGCACGTAGGAATGTTCCTTGTGCATTCCAGATGGAACTGGAATTTGGAAGTGTTGGTTTTGTATGAGAGGGGGAAACTTGATTGCCCAGAGAGAATCCTCTCAGAGCAAGGGAGAGAACCAAGAACAAACTCAGCCCACATACAGCATTTACACCTGGATTCGAACCTGAGCCAGAAAAGCTATTGTGAAAAATACCATAATATTCTCAAAATTGTCGTTTCAATTTGAGAATATTATGTATTTTTTGCAGTGGTCTATAGTTGGGAAGCGAGTGCTCTCACCACATGTTAATACATCATTTTAAATGCATTCTTGATACACTTAAAGTACCTACCTCACACCACTGCACCACCCCTGCTCTTACTCTTTGAAGAGACAAGGAGCCTGGAAACGAGCCTGATCCCTGCAACCGTTACCCTAGTAATACCCTAGTAGCCCTCTTAGTTATCTGTTAGAAGTTGTCTAATTTAGCGTCGCCTAAAAAGGATTTTTTGTGACAATTTTTTCGTGTCCTCATATTATTGCTTAAGCTTGACTACCAGCCTTTTTGGGAGTAGGATGCAAACCTTACTCCTCAAACGGCCGGAAATTGAGCCTTGTGGTTGCCAGTATTGGTAAAAGACACTAGTCCTGAGCAGTTAAGCCTAAAATTTAAGGTTCTATGATATTTTCATCGGATGTTGAAACTTTCACGTATTTGCATAAAGAAAGTCAAGCCAGAAATTCAACGTCTGCATTTAATGTGAAAAATGGAGGTATCTTGAAAATATTAGAGGTGTAAATATACAACTGCAGTTTTTTCTGTCACCTGTTAAACAGGACCCGTTGAAGCCGTTTCAGAAAGACTGAGGAATAGCTTAATAAATCTGAAGAGTGCTAAAATGAAATAACTTTTGAAACGAGAAGTCATCTGAGAATTCCTTGTGCCGTATGGATGGCTTGCGCAAATATTCTAAACCTTGGGCACATTTAGGATTGTAAAACTAAATACCACTTTTTATCTGACTTATTCCAAGTAACGTTATTTAAGTTGTTAAAATGTTCTGTTTACAGGCGTAACGTTCTGTGGTAACTCTCCAGTAGATCCTTCCCTATTAAGCTTGGTTCAAAATGAAGTGTTGCAACTTTCCTGCAATTTGGATCATTTTGTTTGCCAGTACAAAGAGCAGAGCGACCTGTTAAAATCACAGCTCTACGAGGTGCAGCAAAACCTCCAACAGCTGCTCCAACTTCCCCAGAAAGTTGAACAAGTAGAACACAAGGTGGAAACCTTGGAACAAAAGGTAGAAGATCTTAGTTGCAGACTAGCGAGACGTCAAGAAAGTGTCAACCCTCCATCGTTCTTTGGAGCGCTGGACAGAAATGAGTATTTTACAGGCCGGAAAAAAGAGTTGGAATCGTTGGACAAAGCTTTTGAAGAAGTTAACACTACAGGAGCTGGTCTTAGAAGCGGTAAGAGAAAGGCTAAAGTTCATGGTATTTGCGGACTTGGAGGCTGTGGGAAGTCGTCTCTTGCTTTCGAATATGCTTGGCGGAATCTGGATCGTTATCCAGGAGGTGTTTTCGTGATAAATGGAGAAAGTGACGACTTGTTGCGAGCGTCTCTTCAAGAAATCCATGGAGAGTATGTACACAAGACCCAACCTAACAAGCACGAGGAGGCGACACAGTTTAATCAATTAATAACTGAAACTCTTTCGTGGCTGGGTAATCTAAGAGAAAAGTGGCTTTTAATTGTAGACAACATGGATCAAAAGGAACTAAGCTCCTGCGCACGAAAATTGTTTTTCGGCCAGTGGAAAAACAAAACTACAGGTGACATTCTTGTTACTTCCCGTAGAAGTTCTGAAGCGTTGTGTGAGGACCTAGAACTTCCTCCTGAAAACTGTCTTGAGTTGAATGCTTTTACTCTCGAAGAATCAACAGAATTCCTAAAGAAACGCACCGGATTAGAATCCTGCGGTGACGATCAAGAGCAAGAAGTAAAACAACTTGCCCATGAGCTCGGTGGATTACCTTTGGCTTTAGAGCAAGCCGCTGCTTACGTAAAAGCATTAAAGTGCCCAATTCAGTCATACCTTGAGCAGTATCGTTCTCAAAAGTCCACCCTGTTGGAAAGAAAAAGCGCTAAACCATGTTCAGAGATCTATAGTGAGGAGCGTCTTGAGGTGCAAACTACGTGGCTTCTCAATTTCAGTTATATAGAAAATGACGAAAAAGATGAAGGACTCGGAAAGGCGTCTGCTTTCTTCATGCAAATTGCCACGTATCTGTTCCCAGACGATATTCCTATAGAAATCTTAAATGTGGGCGCTCCAGAGATTGAACATAAGCACCTGAAGCACTGCTTAAAAATGCCAATCGGCGCAAAACAAATTGTTGATTTGTTGCTTAGGTTTTCGCTGTTCAAGCGCAAGTCCGATAACAGCTTAAGTATCCATCGACTTGTTCAAGAGACGTTGAAACAATATTATGATGTGGAAAGCCGAAATGATGAGGTTGTTTCTTCTGCTTTAAGAATGTTGCACCATGCATTCCTCAATTGTGTTGGGGGGACGGACTTCCTTTTCGATTTGCGTCAGAAACTGGATACACGGATAGCTAATGCACCTAGTGGCATAGCTCACGTGCATCCGGCCATCAACTTAAGTTTAAATGAGGCCAAACTCGAGGTTCGACGATGGAAAAAGCTTTCATTGAACGCATTTTTCCTACTTGATACCCTGCGGAGAAATGTTTCCGTAAACCCCGACTGTCTGCGCACTGAAGAAACTGCCAGGTTATCTTGTGAAGCAGCCCTCTATTGCTATTCTTTGGGAATGCTAAGTGAAGGATACCGCTTACAACAGTTGGTTTTAGACATTTTATGCGCTGTGAAAGAGCCCATTTGTTTTTACAAAGCCGAAGAGCTAATGAAAGTAACAAGGATCTTAATGCCCTTCCTGGATCCGAGTCTCCTTGCTCAAAAGGTAATGGGACCTATTGAAAATGTTGCTGATAAAATGGACTATCCAGTAGACAACAATCAAAGCAACGAATTGTTAGACGGGGTTGAAGTGATAGAGCTAAAGGCAATCGCCGCTTTCGCCAGGGGTGATTTTCAAACCTCTTTTGACTTGTACTCTGAAATTATTAAACTGTCAATTGGAGTAAATCAACCGAGCCATCGTTCCCTTGGGAAAATTTTTTGTAACCGTGGCAGTGCAAATTTTAAATTGGGAAACACTGAAGCGGCAGTTGACGACTTCAATGCTTCTGTTACCGTAGACAATGAGCATTACCCTGGTTACTACTGGAAGGCATACGCACTCAGTAAACTCGTTGAAATTGGAAGAACAGAGTTCACCAGCAGAGCTCAAGCAGCGGCGGCAGTACTTCATTTCAAGTTTGCAGTTTCCAAACCAGATGGTTTTCAGAAGTTGCAACGTACATTCAAAACCGTTGCAGGACTGCTTGATCAAATTGAATACAGATTCGTCAACCAAGTTAAGCAGCTGAAAGAGCTAGAGAGTCGGGTCTCTGGAAGCCAGGTTTCAAATGATTCGCTTACTGTCATTCTGGCAGGTGGAAGGTATAATTTCAAAGAGATGCTTGTTTTAGGAGGACGTTATCATTTTGTTTGTCTTCCTGGAAGTTTCGCGACGCTTACCTCTAGCAAAGGGTTCTATTTCTCTAATGGCTCTTTTCTATTTGAAAACGTTCATTTCGCGAATCCTTTACATCCAGTCGACGATCAGCTTTCGGTAACGTTAGGAAGATCGCCTCAAGATAATACGGAAGTGAACGCCGGTGGAGAACTCAAGCTTAGTGCCTTGGTGGTAGCTTATAATGTTAACTCATTAGTGATGCACCAATGCCTTATCTCTGGTTCTGTTAGTTCAGGTATAATGGTGCAGTCGCATCAGCTTAAAAAAATGACCGTTTCATTGAGGTCGTGCAATATAGCAAGTTGTATGGGGCCTGGGGTTGAAATTCAAGGAGGTACAACTGAAAGCCACTTAAGTATTTGTAACAGTACCATTGCTCACAATATTTATGGTGTTGTTATAAATTCTCCAGCCCATTTTTACTTGGAAAAGAACGAAATTTATTCCAGCTGTCTCTCGGGTTTTATGGCCACTGGAGGATGTAATGGAAGATTACTGAAAAGTAATTTTGCTTTGAATAAAGGCCACGGAATTTTTTTGCGAAACGCAAACGCATCAGTGAAAGAAAACTTCATTTTCAGAAATTTATGCTGGGGAATTTTGTGTTGTGCTGGAAGTAAACTAACATGCAAAGAAAGCGTGCTTCAAAACAACTACTGTGGAGGACTTCGTATCATGTTCAATGGCAAAGAGAATGTTGTGGTTGAGAAATGCGAATTCCTAGGGAATGTTGGCCCTAATGTTTTTCCCGCTAGTGCAAAAGACATTTGCCCTTTGGAGAAGGAATGGAAACAGTTATTTGCAAGGACTCAGAAATTTCCCATGATATTTTACTTATTCAATTTTCTCAGTTTAACGAAAGTGGACATAGCTGAATTTGCCAATGAGTTCAAGAACCCTTTCCTTTCAGGCAACAGATTCCATGATGTTCCCGACAAGCTATTTCAGCGATCTCCACCGACAGTGTGCTCTGCTTGCTGGCAGGATCTACAGTCGGATGGTGATTGGATCGAATGTCCCAGTTGCTATGTTGCAAGATATTGCAGCCAGCAGTGTTTTGACACCGCAAAGAATTTTCATTATGCTGTTTGCAACTCCATTCTTGAAGGCAACAAAGAATCTGAACCGTTGTGGCCTCTGGTCAACCCATCAGTAAAAGTGAGTGTTCAAGTTGAAGCGGGACGTTCTTTGTGTGTTTGTGCCGCAGTAAATGTTTTTACAGCAGATGAAGATGGCACGACAAAGGTTTTAGTCCGTGTCTGTCTCTTAACTTGTCCAGAGCGGAATTTCTTTACGGTGCTTCGCTCCACAAAAATCCACGATCTCATAATGATTCATGGAAGTCCTATCAAAGAAAGCATGATGGATATCAAGGTAGCTAGTATTTTGGCAAACTTTGATCTTGAGTCCCAAACCGTCACTGTTTTTAGCCATCGCGTTTTCTCTATTGACAAGGTTTCAAGTAGTTGGAATTGGGTGGAAAAGGCATTAACTTTGTTTTGTGAACGGTTTTTAAACGGAGGTATGCCTTAAAACAGAAGTGACAGTGTTTTTCGTGTAAGTAAGGGAATTTGTACATTTTTTGAATAATTTTTTGTACCTGCGTCTGTATAATTTAACTGTGTTTCTTGAGACAGTTCTATTTAGCAGTCTTGTAAAGGAAATACCTGGACAATTTTCACGTCATTCAGACGTCGAAACCAGCTAAATTCAAAGCTAAGCAAAGTCTGTTTTGCTAGGACATTAGCGTTAGATTCGGAACATTTTAAGTTTGATGTCTACATCCAGCCTAAACGAGAAATCTTTAAAAAGGAATTAGAATTTCTTGGAAGTAAAAGCTGTTACTTAAATAAATGTTTGCAGTCTAGTCTGTAGACTTTCTTAAATTCCGTTTGCGTCGGTTCCGCACTTAGGCGGGAAAACGCCTCACAAGTTAGGTTCTGAGGCCTAGGCCAAAAGTCGAACTTTTCATGAGACGAACCAAACTTAGTGAGTTAAGTTCATTTGAAACGTTTGGAATGAGTTTGGATCGTCCAACACGTCCTTTCCGTCTGAATACATTGGAGCCTTTTTGTGGTTTAGGCTTATCATTTTTGCACATGATTGACCTCGAGTAATGTTATAAGCCAATCAAAAAGGCTTACTTCTCCTGTTTTGACGCTGAGTAGCTTCTAAGAATGATTGCAAAATATCCAGCATTTCGTAGAACTGAGTTCAGGGTGAGTACTGTTTCTTGACCTTTCAGCTGTTTCACAAAATATATAGTAACACTGATTTTTCAGGTCTGTTTTTTGGTATGCTAACGGACTTCCATTAACACGAGACAACTGTAATGGAGGCCAAAAGGTTTTGGAACACTTTCTGTTTTTGACGTGTTTTTGTTTGGAATTTACAGCTAGCCAGAAATACAGATTCATTAACACACCCTTACAAAGGTTTCTCCCCAACCTCCCCCCGCCTCCCTCTAATCAAGTTTTAAGTGAGGTTCATAACCTTTCAAAGATGTGTATTAAAAGTGTCATAATTTTTGCGCAAGAGTGAGTACAAATAAAGATTGTTTTTGTTGTTTTAACTCGAACCAGGATTGTAGTCTCGCAGTTCTCTTTTCAGCTATAGAAACAGGGCTGCTCAAATGGAACGATAACAAGATCGAGAAAAGACTACTTAAGTTGGAAGATAACTAGAAAAGTCCTCATCCGAAAAACACAAAAATCGGGGGTACTCCCTTATATAGGCCATAGGTGTGTGCCGCCCCAAGGGGTATGGTTTTTGTGCCGTTTTGGTCTGAAAATGGTATAGAGTCTGGAGTCGGAAAAGGTTTTCGATGAAACTACGTATCTATTTTTTCAATTCCAAATGAATAAAGAAGAAAGAGAAATATGCATATTGGAAGGCAATTTTGTTTCGTTCATTGATAACTTCATTGTATCATTTTCAAAATACATGAAAATTCGATCTTGAATGGAAACATGGCAAACGTAAAACAGCTTTCCTGGCTGAAATGTTACCGGGACTTTCGAGAAACGGGCACCCGGGTACCAAAATAGCCTTTACGACACTATGAACGCTAATACATTAAACTTTCTCTGAGGCCGAACTTTGGAACCAGCACAATGTTTATCTTAGAGAGGTGTCCGTCTTATAAAGGATCAAAGCATAATTCTTAAAAACTGCAGACACAAACTTGGGTGTCCGTTATATGCAAATGGCAGTTAAGAGAGAGGTTTTTCTAGACGGATACACGACTGTAAAAGTAGCCGCCTACAATTTTGAAACTAAACAGAAAAAACTTACACTGGCTTCTAGAAGATGATTGAATTTAAGATTCTCCTCTTAGACCATATTTTAGACCGCTGAATTGTGTTGGTACTGTAAGCAAAATGGCTTAATCACGCTACTGCTTTGAAGATATGGATAACTTAGTTTACGATATTCATGAATTTCTTCTTTAAGTACATGTTCACCGAAGGCGTTCTTTAAAAGGTCTACAGTTAAATCCTTTAAAACAAGAAATTCGAGATTTGAAGAAAAGAAAAAGGCATTACTGACATCAAGGTCCATATAAATTTCAGAGGGGAAAGCTGAAGCTTATTTTTTCTTTCTTTTCTAATCAAAAAACAAATAAATAAATCGCTCCTTTACCTTGAATATTTTTTTCACTATTCAAATCTTCTAGTTTATTCATTTGTGGGAGTGGCCACGATAGCGAGCTACACGAGCACTCTGCTCTTGCGTGACTTCTCACGATATCCTCCCAATGGAGGCAGACGAGAGCATTCGTTTGTCTCTGTAATTTGACAAGTTTCCATTTAGAGTTTGTGTAATGTCTCTCAAATGGCCTTTACAGCTTTTATAGTAGTATTAATGCAGGTCTTGGCAATATGGCACACTGCATACTGGAAACAAAATAGCGTGACTCTAAATCCGAACATTACGAATTGCGTGATTATAGGACCTTCCAAACGCGTGATGTCTCATGGGATAAAGAATCTTCTCGCTGCCATTTTTGCAGGCGCTTTACTTTTTGAATTTTCATTTATCATTCTCTACCAAAGAAGGCCAAGACTCTTGAGGTATGTTTCCGGTATTTTCTGTTTGTACTAGTCTTTGTATGTGTAGTTTTCCTGCCAGTTTGGGTTTACAAAACAGATTGGTGAACAAGGAAATAGAATTATGGGTCTCCATTTTGTCTGATTTTGTACATTTTGAACTATTAATGGGAAGGGATTCTTCTCTACTTGTACACTAGGTCAAATGTGTGATGCGAAGCATGTTCAAGCACACAGTGGCCTTTTCATGTTGTTTTCTTTTAAATTTGGCCTTTTTTCCGTAAACAGTTGCCAGTTTAACGTGTAAGATAAATTTCAGACACAGGAAGCCGTTAAGAACGAATCTCGCGAAGGATTGAGCAAAATTGGAAATGGTCAAATAAAACATATCCTTCATACTTTGTGTGTAGTTAGTTAACTTCAGATGAAACTACTCAGTGGCATTTGTTTGACTTCTAACAAAGGTCAGGTAAATATTTCAGAAAGCAAACTAACTGTTAAAAAATGTTTACATGATAGCAAAATATAATCCTTCCTCTCAATTAAAATGTTATCAATTTTTCTCCAGGCCCCCCCCCCCCCCCCCCCCCCCCCCTCCCTTTTTCTTTTTAAAAGGGGGAAAAAACCTTTTTTACAGGCCAAAAAAAAAAAAATTTTTCAAAAAAAATTTTTTTTTTTACCCCCCCATTTTAATGAAATATACAAATACAAAAAAATGCCCCCCCCCCCCCCCTGACGGCCCTGTTCATTGTCATTTACAAGGGGGAAAAACGCTTTTTGACAAGGCTAAAAAATAGACATTTTTGAAAGCATATTTTTCTTACTAGCACTCCTAGTTAGATCAAAATTGAAACAGGATATAAATATTTCGCACTTCGTGAACTATGTCATGCTTAACAATCCGTGGGCACTCTGTCCATTTTTGCATGTCAATCAAATGAAAATGTATACCTGAGACAAAATAGTAAATTTTCGCAACTTTTTTTTGCGGCTATCTTTTCTTTAAATAATGGGTTATTCCAGAAAAAATCCACACCCCCATGACAGAAGGCACAGGAGGGGGGGTTAATGGCTCTGGAAATCCAGACGGGAGGGGGCTCTGAACCTAAAAACACATCCTCGGGGGTTACTTTCAATTTTACTGATGTTTCAATTGCTTCAATCAATAAGTTTTCAAAAATTGCTTTGCTTTTTTAAATTTTATTATTCTTTCAAACTACAGACCTGTTACCTCATTTATTTTGAAAGTTCCAATCAATCCGTAGGCTCGCCTTCCTTACTTTTGTGGAAAGTAAGCAACGTGCAATAACTTTAGGATGTCAAGGAAAATCGCATAATTCTTAAAAAAAGGTGCTCAATTCAAGACAGTAAAGCAAACAATGATGGTATAGCGTTATAGCCGTATAGCGCGTCATGTAATATCCCACTATGTGTCCTTTTTCGTTCTTTCGCAGTCATCTTTTATCAATAAAGAAGAGAACCTTTCATCCGAGTACATACTGTAAAATTCCAAAAATAAGCACCAGCTAAGCTTGTATTTTGCAAAGGCCCTCTTTGAGGGGCTTATATTCAGGGGGGCTTATGTACCGAGGGAAATTTGCGTTTCAAAATAGATTGGGCTAGCCTTATTCAGGGAAGGAATTTACCGTTTTTCTTTGTTTTACGCTGTATTTTAAGGCAATTTCCAAGTACAAGCCCTGGCGGGGCTTATATTAGGAGGAGCAATTTAACACAGGGTTTTCTATGGTACGAGTCTAGGGGGCTTATATTTGGAGGGGCTTATACATGGAGGAAGTTATTTTCAAAATTTTACAGTAGTTAGTTTTGAGCTTTATTGTAGTATATATTGCTGTATATTTTGCCTGGTCTAGAAAAAAAAGAGAAGCTCACTCAAATGTGAGCTTATTTGTAAAAACTGTAAGCCTGTTTAAAAAGATGTGAAAATGTAATCTTAACTTTCACAATAAACACATAAAATTATTCACCGAAAATTGAGACTTTTTAAAAGTACAGTAAAAACCTGCAACTAAGAACCTAAAAATTAAGAAATTTAAAACAGATTCTTATTTTCTAAAATCATACTAGTACATTACAACTGCATTGCAAGAATCATACTTGAAGCAAAAAAAGCAGATTGCCATTGTTGTAAAAATGTTTTTTAAAAAAAGAAAAACGATCAGTGCAAGATATGTAGACTTACAAAGCATACTAAGCAATATATATATAGATGTTTTAATTGTTTTTTCTCCAGGATTAAGAACCCATTTTAAGAACTTAAATAACCTAATTAAAATTCTGTTAACTACCATTTATAAAAGAACCTGTTTAGGCTAACTCCTAAAAATGTAGGTTCTTAGTTGCAGGTTTTTACTGTATCATCTAAGTGCCTGAAAGAATTCTTCTACATTTGAGTGTAAATTAAAATTATGTGTCTAACAATTTCGTGGAAATCCAGATGGTTGGGGGGGCCTTTGAACTTGTCAA